GTAGACCTAGCTGATCGACTGCCTGTGTGACTGAGATCTCTAAACGTCTTGCTAATCTTGGGCACTCTCAAGGTTGCTTTAAGTGACTCACTATTCTCAGGGGAAAAACATTTAACAAGATATGGATTTACATGTACGTAGATTGATTGATCTAAGAACACGGCAGTCATATTCATCTTCACCACCATCAGATAGACATCCAATATGCTGCCTTTAAAGGCACACTGTCCTACTTGTAGCTACTTGCTCCCTCTATATAGAAAACTTCCCCAATCGGTGCCTGTTGGTCCCCCATGATCTTTTTCTTATGTTAAATGAGAGCTGAGTTAATGAGATAGCCACCTGTCACAGTTACCTCGCTGGCTCGCTGTGTGGTCTAATACCTTCTGGCTGAAGTAGTAAAGCCTCCCTTTAAAGTCCCACTGCACTACTTATAGCTACTTGCGCCCTCTATATCAATAGAAAACTATGCCTAATCGGTGCCTGTTGGTCCCCCATGATCCTCTTTTTCTTATGTCAATTGAGAGCTGATCTGATAAGATAACCACCTGCCAGTGACCTTGCAGGGAGGTCTAATTCCACCTGGCAAAACTAGTGCAGATGGTCTTTAAAGTGCACCAATCACCAAATAATATATGTTCTGTATGTTAGAAGTTCTATGTCGTATTATATTCAAAATATGAGCTTCTAACATTACTTCTGTAAAGAGATTTTGCAAGTTCAAATACACCCTCAATTAACATAAAAGCGACTTGTGAAAGACTACTCGACGCACCCGTCCATGCTTACCTGTACATAAAATAAGGCCTGCACGGAACTTAAAGATAAACTCCAGTTCTGGTAAAAAAAAGAAAATTAATTCTCACAGAATCAAACAAAACTTACACTGAATGTTCAAGATTACAAATAAATGACATGTGCCAAACAATTTTGGAAGAAAATGTATACTGGCTGAGAAATGAACATAGAAAGACAAGGAAATCAAGGTAGTACTAGCCCCGACACCATGTATGTTGTCCCATATATAGCTTTCTGTGTACAGTGCTTGTTACTTTACCAAGACTCGGTCAAATTTATTATGATTTTGACGACTCCAGAACCTTGCAGAGCAGACCAATACTTAAAAATGCTACATGATCAACTGTTTCTGATCCTTTCCACACCTTTTCTTTCACAATGCAATCGCATTACCAGTACTAAAGTTTATCTTTAAGTCAGACTTTTATGATATATTTTCTTCATACTCTAGTCTGCATCGTTATCCATTAGCACCTAGAACGCCGGATGAAGCTTTTAGAGATTGATTTTAATATTATACAATCTACTGAATCTAGCCATACATGTATATTTCATACAAATTATGTTTTGGAGTGATTGGTATACTTTAAAAGACAAGACTGTTCCTCAAACTTTTTATTTTACCTGAATCGGGGAGGGAGTGTCAATCTGAATTCATGGATATACATACACACTGTACAGTGTACATGTATGTATCCATGACAGATCTTCATGCACATACATGTACAGCTGTCTGTAGTGTAGGTTTTGGTTGCTCAACTTCCATCTATGTCTGCTTTAAATTAAAGAGAAGGTTGAGTTCTGGGAAGAGGTGAAAAATAATTTGTGAGCATTACTCATTCTTATTATGCAAGTGTGGAAGAACATCAGTTAAGACATGTTCCCTGAAAAGCATGGCTCTTCAAATGCCTTCATCTTCTAAATATGCATGTAACATCGTAAAAATCGGGGGCCGGCTTTTTACGCCACGTGTTCGTGTAGTCCCATATACATCTTTTTGTGCAAGTGTTTGTAACTTTACCAAGACTTGGCCACATTTTTTATCATTTTGATGATTCCAGAACCTTGCAATATACACACAAATTCTTATATGCTAGATGATCAACCTTTTCTGGTCGGTTCCACACCGTTTCTTTCACAATGCAATCGCATGACCAGAACTCAACTTCATCTTTAAATAATTAAGTTACCGTACTTATTTTCCGTTCGGTAAACAAAGGTGTAAATGTGTAATTCCTCTATTCAGAGGAAAATTCTCACATGTGCATGTCGTCGTCTGGGTGGAATTTCATGTAAACAATGAAACATTAAGCAGAAGAGCGTTAGCACCAAATCACCACAAACTTTTATAAAACTGACTTATTTCCAAGAAAAAAAATTGTGGCTGTGTTCTACTATAACATTTCTATTAGTCTTTTAAATTTTAAAGCAATTTTCCGGACAGAAAGCAGTTTTTGAATGCGAATAATTTGAAAAGTAGTTTTCGAGTCGCTCGCGCACTAACGCCCTTCTGCCAGCGAGCCGACAATGTTTGAAGAATGTTTTACAAAATAGCCCTCTTTTTATTTTTTCACAAATAACCTTATGTATTGTAATGATGATTTGGTTTCTCTGAATTAGTGTTGGAATAAAGTTTCTTTCCCTCCCTTTCAGAAGTAGTGCAAATACAAGCAGCTGAATATTGCTGGCACCACCATTATAACTCTATCTTTTGACTTTGTTTGTACCAGCACAATACCCACCCTACCAGCTAGTACCAAACTATAAACGTGGCAACAAACACCATTGTGGAAAGAAAACCTACAACCTGCAAAAGCTGTAAAGAGCTTGTAAAATCAAAAGATTCACAGATCATATGGCATGCATTCCTCTACTCTAGTTTGCAGGGCTTGCAGGCACAACAGAGGTTCTGAGTGAGTAGGCTATACTAAAATAATGTAGGCTCTACTAGGGAGGTGTTTTTTTTAACTCACATACCCTGGCTCTACTGTAGACCGAAAGCTTCAGTCTCTGATATCGACTGTTGTTCCGCTGAGATTGCATCTGGCTCCTCTGACCGCCTCTATCAACAAATGTCAGTTTAATTAAACAAATGACCCATACCAGAAGGTTATTTTTGTCTAGCTGTACTGTAGATAGCTGCTCCTATTTGACACAACCTTCTTTCTTCTTTCCTAATTTGATTTGTTTGGCACTTAGTCACAATGGACTATTTTGCCACACACTTTTTTTATGAATTATTATATATAAACAATGACTGACGGAGTTAGGATCTGCTTAAGACTTTATGGGATCGTGTTTTAGTGTTGAATGAGAGTCTGTGTATTCAGGCTACGTTTCTTCTGCTTCATAAAGCAATCATGTGTATTCACTCATATGTTTGCACTGCAGCATTCTAATGATCCCCCTCAATAGATTAACTGGCCTTGCCTTGGGAGTCGTTTTGGGACAAACATTGTACTTCAAATACATTCAATGTATTTAAAACTTTTGTGGAGTAAAAGTATGTACATTTTTATCATCTTGTATAGTCCTAAAATCAGGTAACCTTTAATAAAGACCAGATTTATTCACATTATAAATAAATGTAAATTAATTAATTAATCCATTGTCTAAGGTAATTTGTCATGGTCACTGTAGGTTGTTAAATTGTGTTTCTACATGTATTTGGTTATCTACATGTACATCTACACGTAGGTGGTCTTAGATCAATTAACTTCGAAATCCAACCTTGATAGAATAGTACTCTAAAAGGAAGCAGAAAGGTCAGAGTTCAAGCAGACTGGTGAAAGTTTGAATGAAATCAGTAACAAATTAAGAATGTAACACATTTTTGAATGTTGCAGTTTGATGGACTTTGGAGGGATTTTGAATTCACAGAAAACATCGTCCCCGGTGTACATTTAAATGAAGGACTGCTCCAAGTATTTTCTCCATATTATGATACTACAGAGACTAAAAAACAAATGGAATATTGATCACCAAAATTATTTTAAAAATTTAAAAAAGAGGACACTGACACTCTTGACTCTACATTGTTCAAAATTTTCATATAAACTATCATTATATCATACATGTACGGTATATCAATTAACTAAAGAAAAATTAATACTCTACCAACATCAATTAAGATCAAGTTTCACACTAAGTTTCATGCTTGGATGGGCACATTCATTTATTACAAAAGTAGAGTAAATCGCCATTCAAATTTCAATGAACATGTGCAAGTGTAAGAGTAAGACATTCTTGTTCAACAATGTATGAGTCAGGAGAGTCTTTTCATTTGAGAGGACTGATAATAATATGTGCACGTACAGTACTATCCATAATAGTACATTTTGAGTAGTGCACCAGGAGAAGCGTTTGGGAGAAAATCAGCAACATTTTTGTACACAGCAAAACGCAAGATTTGTTGGTGCATATTGATATAGTGTCACAATCCACTGACAAAATTGCCAATTTGAGATTCACATGACATAACTATACTCTACGGTCAGATAGTGATTGCATATTTTAAACATTCATATATATATCTCTCCTGAGTCTTATCATTGGTCCAATTTATTTCCAAATTTTGCCATCTTGTTCCACTATTTTTTCTGCATTTAAACAAATAAACTTATTACTACAAAAATTTTAGATCTAGAATAGATGTAGCGGTACAAAGATTTGATTTAGAGAGAGCTGTTGATGTCGATGATGATAATGTTTTACAAAAATACAAGACACTTGTTGATAAAGTTCTGGGCTGGAAATAAAAATGTTGGACATAGATCTAAAGGCTTTTGGAATCTTCTTACTTCTGACTTAGCATTCTTCATCTTTATTTCAACCTTACATTGTCATTATTCAGTTTATATATTATTGGGCCCACTCAGTCATCATAGACATAGATCTAGTACACATTGGGCGTATACATCTCTTATGTATGTGTATAGCCCCAATACACAAACAAAGACATTTCCTCCTGTTTCCCTTAAATGTTTTTATTTTGCCTGTTCATTAACATGATTAACATCATTTTTGTTGTTGAATTTTTCATCCATCCATGTTTGAAAGACCCCGATACGCATTAGCATTGACTCTCTATTACTAATCTATGCTTTGTTGGAGTGCCCCACCCCCATGATTTGACCCATACAGTTACTTCTGTCTAACTAGTATTAATAATAGGACAGTGAATGAACAAAAGTGGAGCTTACCTCCGCCGTTCTGCGCCGGGGATGCATCCTTTGAGTTTGAGCTGATGGGTAGAATGTTACCCTTCGTTGGATTCCCCATCCTGCCGGAATATGTGGACAATCTGGATTTTTCTTCCGCACTATCTAAGTATAACTTAGATCGAGATCTAGTCAATGTTCTTGGAATGAGCCCAATCTAAAACGATGTAACACACAGAAGAGATACTTGATGAACGTTATAGCTTCATCAGTTGGCAGGGCCAGACTAAAGCCTCAATAGATGAGTCGAAGTCCCGAGCTTATCAACTTTGCCAGACCAGCTAGCCCGGCACGTCCCCGGTAAGGTTTCGTCTCTTTCCGTACCGTTTATTATGCTAGCGCCTATGTAGCATCGAACTTCACACTCGACCCGCCGCTACGTGGCTAACAACACGAATCAATACCGAATCTAGCTCGTTCAATTCATTCGACCTCTACGACGAAAAGGTAATAAAGACAGCTACCAGAGAGCTGTAATATCCAGACAATTAGCTCCAAAGTACTTCCGTAGTACATTCGTCATGGCAAGAGAGCAAGTACGGTACGTGAATCCGATTGTGTGAAATAATGCGGAACAATGCATGCGTTTGAGTCTACTCGGGCATCTACGAGTAGTTGATTGTGGTCGCACAGATATGAAAGTTTCAGGAATATTGAAGATTTGTTGGCATGATTTTTCCCTCTCCTCATAAAAACCCCCTTTCACCTTCGATAAATGCCCCTATTATAATCTGATCGGCGTCCCTTTTCTTTCAACAAATGCACAATTTCCTTTATTTATAAGTGCCCCTTTTTCATAATTATAATAAGTGCCCCTTTTCATATCTGGTTGTGCCTGTTTTCAAGTGTGATTAGTGCCCCTTTTCACCTGATACTTTCACTTTTAACAAGGAAACGTGCCACTTTTTCTTTCTAATAAGGGATGATCCCCTATCACCTCTAATAAATGCCCCGGTATCAAAATCTGACGGGTGCCCCTTTTACGTCGACAAATGCATATTTCCCATTCTCATAAGTGCCTTTGGCATCCTTTCCTCTCAGTAAATGTGCCTCTAATTTAAAGGAACTAAGGCGGTTCTCACATATTACGACATACTGTGCTGCTCTAATATTAATGGGTCACTTTTTCACAAAAAATCCCTAAACAAGGGACCAATTTTTCGAAATTTCTAAAAAGCATGGCAAACAACCCAAAATCGTGAAAAATGGGCTTTACTTCAAGAAAGATCCCCCAAAATAACCCTTTAAAATGGGTAGGGATTTCGAGGCTTCATGTGCTTATAACCCCGGGGTTTTTCCTCTCAGTTATAAGTTATTTTTTGTTGGTGCCCCCCCCCCCCCCACTTTGGAAGTCGCTCGGCCACCCCTGCGTGGATGTGTCTGAAGAGGACATTTGCTGACCAAACCATACAGATACAGTAGCTGACATAGGTCACCAGGCGCGGATCCAGGGGGGGGCCGAGCGTGCCTTGGCCCCTCCCCCCCCCCCCCGAAAAAAAAAAAAAAAAAAAAAAGAGAGAGAGAAGAAAGGAAAAGAAGGGAAAAGGAAAAAGGAGAGAAAGGGAAAGAGAGAAGAGGAAGAAGAAAAGAAAAGGGGGAAGAAAAAGATCGGGGGGGGGGCCGAAAGGGCCTTGCCTCCCAGGCTGTTGCCCCCCCCCCCCCAATCACAAAAATAAGAGAGAAGGAAGGAAAGGGAAAGAAAAAAGAAAAAGGGGAGATACTGGCGAACTGATAGGGGGTAGGGGGCTTGTGGGAAATCAAATTTATACGTGTTTTATTTCTAATTCCATAACGGTAGATTACAAATAATGCTGAAATGACATAATTTCACAGATTTTTCCTCACTTTTTAGTAAATTATACGTTTTTATGTGACAAATTCCTAAATTTTCAGCCAGGCAAGAAATGTGATTCTTGAGATTCCTACATGTGCAGGGTCCGAGGAACGGCGGGGACCGAGAGCCTCGAGCCCCCCCCCCCCCCCCCACTTTTTTTTGAAAAGGTATATTAAAGAAAAATAAAAAAGAAAGAGAGCAAGAAAGAAAAAAGAGTTAACTGCCAGTGTCAAATAATAATGAGGCATCAAAATATGCTCGTCTGACCGTGATTAAATGCCTAAAGCCCCCAAGCTTCCGGGGGCTCTGCTGGCCCCTGGATTCCACCTAGGGCCCTAAGGCGGGCCCTTAGATGCTCATCTGACGGTAATTTAATGTCTCAAACTCCTGAGCCTCCGGGGGCTCTACCGCCTCGACCCCACCAGGGGCCCTAAGGCGGGCCCCTGAATGCTTATCTGACCGTAATTTATAGCCCCCGAGCTTCTGGGGTCGGACAAGTTATCAAAATGTGTCTATCTGACCGCAGGCGCGTAGCCAGGGGGGGGGGGGCTGTGGGGGCGGTCCCCGAAAATCGCCGTCAAAATAAAAAAGAGAGGAGAGAAAAGAAAGAGGGCGTAGGAATAAAAAGGAGCAGACAAAGAACATCTTTGAAATTCAGACAAGGATTAAGAGTAGAGAACGGTACAACGCATCGTCTTCTTTCTCCAATGATTTTATAAAACGTGAAAGCTTCCGCGCTTCGCGTAGGAGGGGAGGGGGGGGGGGGACTGAATTCAGACAAGGATTAAGAGTCGAGAACGGTACAGCGAATCGTCTTCTTTCTCTCACAATCTTATGAAACGTCCAAAATTCCGCGCTTTGCGCGGTAGGGGAAAAACTGAATTCAGACGAGGATTATTATCGAGAACAGTATAACGGATTGTCTTCTTTCTCTAATGATTTTAATAAAACCTAAAAGCTTCCGCGTTTCGCGCGGGAGGGGGGGGGGAAACTAAATTCAGACGAGAATTATTTTCGAGAACGGTACAACGAATCGTCTTCTTTCTCTAATGATTTAAATGAAACTTAAAGCTTCCGCGCTTAGCGCGGGAGGGGGGGGGACGAATTTAGACAAGGATTAAGAGTCGAGAGCGGTACAACGAATCGTCGTCTTTCTCTAATGATTTAATGAAACTTAAAAGCTTCCGCGCTTCGCGCGGGAGGAGGGAGCCTGAATTCAGACGAGGATTAAGAGTCGAGAACGGTACAGCGAATCGTCTTCTTTCTCTCATAATCTTTTGAAACGTCCAAAATTCCGCGCTTCGCGCGGTAGGGGAACAACTGAATTCAGACTAGGATTCAGAGTTGAGAAAGGTAATACGAATCGTCTTCTTTCTCTAATGATTTTAATGAAACTTAAAAGCTTCAGCGCTTCGCGCGGGAGGGGGGGGGGGGGGCCTGAATTCAGACGAGGATTTAGAGTCGAGAACTGTACGACGAATCGTCGTTTTTCTCTAATGGTTTAATGAATCGCAAAAGCTTCCGCGCTTTGCGCGGGAGGGGGGGGGGGGGAACCTGAATTCAGACGAGGATTTAGAGTCGAGAACTGTACGACGAATCGTCTTTTTTTCTCTAATGGTTTAATGAATCGTAAAAGGGCGGGGAAAAACTGAATTTAGACGAGGATTATTTTCGAAAACGGTACAACGAAACGTCTTCTTTCTCTAATAATTCAATGAAACGTCAAGAGGGAGGGGGAACTTGCCCCTCCCTGCACCCACCCCCCCCTCCCCGCATTACGTCACTGCTGGTCAATATTACGTACCAATATTTGGCTCGCATAATTTCAAATTTGGGCCCCCCCCCCCCCCTAAGAAATCCTGGATCCGCGCCTGTAGGTCACATAGCCTACCTGAAAATAAAATAGACAATGTCTCCACTGGCCACCCCTAAAGATTGACGACTGTCAGTTACTCAGTTGTATTAATTAAAGAATTCCCCATACCAGCCGGTTATTTCTGTCTACCCACCCTTGCATTTATCTTGTGCAGCGACGGTTATACTACTTTTATGTTGTATCCTGATAGCTATCCGTGATTGATAGTCTCTCTGTCATAATATCTTAGCCTATTATCAGCGTATGTTACCAATATAACCCATTTAGAGCTGACCAAAATATCATATTCGGTCAGCTAAACATTGAAAATGTACAAATGCCAAAATAGTATCGAATCTGCAAGGTTTGATTATTTTTTATAAATTATTCAGATGCAAGATTACATTAAAACATATATAAGGGTAATGTAAACTCTTTGCAATAATACATCTTTAATCTGAAATAAAACTATTCACCTTTCACATGTGTGGTTTCAGTTACATCACTCTCAAACTCTGGCAGTGTGTTCTGGGTCAGTTCACGACGCATTTAAATACTTGTACATGGTAATTGAGTAAACGGTAAACAGTGATGTCGTATTGTCGCCAAGAAGGTATTTATAATGATCTCATTTGCAATTTCTTCCGTTCTATATGTTATTTTAGAGATAAATAATCGAGCTTTATTTTGGAGTAGGACAGGAGTTGGAGTCGGCCAGGCCAGGCCAGGCACAGCCCGGTGAGCGCGAGCAGAGTAGGGTAGCGCTCGTCGTGCAGTGTCGCTGTGGCCGTGGGCTATCTGAGCTGAGCTGAGCTGTGCATGTGCCAGTAAGCACTGGAGCTGGCACAGGTAGCCCAGTGCAGTGCACAGCGATCGCTGGATTTAATAGCTATTTTCACCGTAATCCAGCGGGAAAAAAATGATTTCTTTATCTATAATCTAGACTTAATTGTCAGGGAAAAAATTAATATTTACTTTTCAAGCTTGCCTGCATAAAATTTAAAAATAACCCTCTAAAATTTGTTTTGCATTGAACTCTATGCAAATTTACGGGGGCTCTTTTCTGATTTTCAGGGGCTCTTTTGGGCATTTCGGGCATTTCAGGGGCAAATTTGCCCTGAGCCCCTGTGTATTTTTTTCACTGTTAATTGTTTGATTTAGAAAAAAATGATAAGAAATACAAATTGTTTTTTTATTCTACTCTTTAGTTTAGGGCCTAGAGTCTACATCAAAAAATGTATAAAAAAATGTAACATAAAAAATATAAGGACTTTCAACTAATCTGTCTGTTTCGTTAAGGTACTGCGTGCGACAGGATCAGCAATCACACACAAACTGCAGTGCGTTATCTCCTCTCACTAACCCGATTGACATACTTCACTAACTTCAGTCTCTGTTAAAGGATAATTGTTAGTCCATAGATACTAGATAGGGCAGTCAGTGGAGCGTGGAGCCAGACGTCTCCGCAGCTCAGAACAAGACAACTGCCAATTTCAGAGACTAAAGCTTTCAGTCTATTATTCTATTTAATAGAATTCTATTATTCTATTATGAAGGAAAAAACTGTGATAACGCCATTACGAACGTGTAGATGGCGCACAGTTTTTCCTTCATTATCATTTTGCCTTCGGCGTAGACTAGAAGAGATGAGATTGACGGCAGCGAGAGTTTAACACGGCTTGCAAGATTTTCAACATGGATGTCGATTTTGACCCATAATTTCCTTAAAAGGGACCATTAAACGGATTATTTCCATCAAGTTAGTAAGTAGAACCGATGTATTATAGCCTAGGCCTAATTTAAAATTGGATATGGACGAGGTAAAATGACATTTTGGGGGATTTTGGGGGCATAACAAATACGGCCGTGGCAAGTTTGTCATGTTTGTGGGAGGGGCCTAGCGGCTAAAATCTAGCCGTGATATCTTCAACATAGGCTGGCATAGGCGATCGTTCAGTCTCTATAACCGGAGGTCTAGTGGAGCCAGACGTAGTCTCAGTGGAACAACCGACGATTATAGAGACTGAAGCTTTCGGTCTATTTACATGTAAGATCGATTAACATTTTTGCTGAATGCTGCTGCCGATTGTGAACAAATAAAAACAAGTTTAGACATGTATTATAGATCCTTCTTTGGTCATATTTATGTCATCCCATCTGTGTCTTGTGTTTTTTCAGGAGTTGTGACATCTTGTTTCAACAAGATTTAGTCTTCATCAGATTATTGTAATGGAGCTTTCACAAGAAACTTTCAGTTTTATACTCCCTACATTACCACCCTTTCTGAATAACTTCATGTTTATTCAAAATTGCCATTCTAGCACCAATAACAAAATTGCCAATAACCGTTCAATGTTTATATGGAACTTTCAAAGTTTTATTGGAATTGATTAAGATTTAAGAAACCAAAGTTCAGAATTAGGTAGTGATCTATGCCATAATACATGATTTAGCGACTAATGCGCTGTGGTGAATTTCCTAAACTAACTGAATTTTTCACTCCAACCCTGGACCAAACTCTACTCTCTAACTCTATCCATATGTGCTTTTGACAAAACAAACCTGTAGCAAATGTTGCGTCACCAATAACCATTGTGACCTCAAATCTAATGTATTACCACAAATCTTTTTTGTTGTTATTATCTCCAGGGAAGGATCAGGTTCTCTTTGTCACGAAGGAGGACCATGAGACCCCAATCAAAGAAGAACTCAAGTATCTTGCTGAGGAGGATGAACCCGAAGGTAACTTGTTTTTAATGATAATAATTATAGTAATAATAACAATAATAATAATATTACTATTTATAATGATGATGATACTATTAATATTAATAATGATGATTATGATCATACTAATAATGACAAATTTATCATTGTGACCTTTTTACAGCATGTTTCAAGCATTTGCATCCAGAGATGATGGACCGTTACCATTTGGAAATTGTTATTGTGGCTTTACTGTAGCTCTTGTCAGCAAATAGTGCATATATTATGCAATTATATTCATGAATTAAATTTTGTTATCATATTAATGTTAACCAAAGAATAATCTACATTAGCTTTACGCTGTTCGACAGCATTAAAGCAGCAAATGAATACAACGTATCCTTACACGTTCAATTATATCAACCAAAGTGAACATTGTCACATTCAATATCACTCTCTTCGTTGGATCCACCTAGATTTCACGGATATTGTTAAAATGTATTCTCTGTTGTTGACAGGTTTGATCCTTGCTAATGGGGATATCAACTGGAACTGCCCTTGCCTTGGTGGCATGGCCAGTGGTCCATGCGGGATGGAATTCAGGGACGCCTTCTCCTGCTTCCACTACAGCACAACCGAACCCAAGGGGTCCGACTGCATAGACAATTTCCGCACGATGCAGGAGTGCATGGTCACCTACCCTGAACTGTACCCTATGAATGACAAATCCGACCCTGACGAACCTGCGGATGTTGTACCGGAAGCTTCACAAGACGGGAGTGAAAGGGATCAAGTACCGGTAGAAAGCACAATGGACAAAGAGAGTGTCAGCTAGCGTGATAGGATACAGAAAAGTGCTGGACTTGAGGGTTGAACCATTTTATACCTGATATGATTATTCAATGAAGAGTTGTCCTAGTATTGAACAGGTTGGATGCTGTTGCTGCTGTAGTCACAAACAGAGGATGGATTTTCAGCTTGATGTGGGTATCAGAATGATGTTTAACAATGATCATTGTCATGTCCAATATCTCATGCTTCAAAAGAATCAGTACAGTGGAACTTCATTATGAAGATAACTGTTATAATAAAATTGTTATACATGTACATGTAACAAGATAATTTTCCACTTCTATGTTTTGTACATGTACATGTACATACTATATAGCCCTGATGTAATAAGGTTTCAAAATGCAATACAACAAGCAGTTTTCTAGTCCCAAGAGGTTTGTTGAGGTTTCCAACTTTTCGCTGCACTCTGTTTTAGGCTTTCATATGGACCACAATTTGAACACTGCTTTTATAGTACAATGTACATGATTCATATTTGAATGTAAAGTGTAACCAAAGATCTCTTGTGATCCACTGAAAAATTCCAAATAAATTCACAAATGAGAGAGACCTTGTATCACATTTCTTCCACATGTACATGGAATATAAATGAAAAGATGCAAGTCATGCCACTTTAACAGGAATTGCACATACATGTAAGTATGTCCCAATTGTTATTTTGTTGTCACCTATTAACTTATTTTATTCCACTTTCCACAGTTTTATGAGATTAGGTCGTGTTGTATTGTGCATCTTGACCAGGCTGATCTTGACCAGTCAGAACTTGTCAGATAATCTGACCGATGAAAGCTTGGAGGCTAGCTTTTGATAATTCATGAAGTTTTCTTCACCCTCTGAGAAAAATGTGCAGAATTATGAAAAGGTAACAGAGCACATGACTACATGTTATAGTGATAAATAACTTATTTTTGAAGAGAAGGTCAAGATTATCATGATGTCCGAGTCTGATACAGAGATATTGTGCAAAGGTTTAAACTTGAAGATTATAAAAGAGACCAAATTTCTTTCTTCTATGTAAACTTCTTGTGAAACGCCTTTTATGTAACGCAAGTTCTGTCACATATAAGATTATAATTTTGAGAAATAGTGATGATTTACCATTTGACATGTGATTCTAGAAGGTCATTTTCAGAAGATCAAATTTTACATATTGTACTTTATATAGGTGGTATAGAATGTCAAGATACTTGTCTGATCTCATATTGTTCAGGACAGTCAAGCAAGTATTTGAAAGAAAACAAAATTAATTATCAAGTTTTATACCAACATATTTGTTGGTATGTGTTGATTATGTTAAAGGGAAGTGGGATTTCCCATTTGTTCAACTAATTCTTGTACACTGTTTAATATTCATCGATATGGCAACGGAGCTTTTAGTAAAGGGAAATCTAATCTTATGAGCAAGTTGCTCTCTAGGGAAGATGGAAAATGATTTATTAGAGAAAATAATTTGTGAAACTTTCAATGAAATGGGATAAAGCAAACTTGCAAAAATGCAAAGTCTTACGATATGTCCATACAATTGGAGTACAGTAATTGAATGGATACATCTATTTTATCCTAACCCAGTGCCATTGGTCCCACAGGACAACTATTAATTAAATTAAGTTAATGTCTTGCAGTGCATCCTGACATGTGATTGTATCAAATTCAGAAAAGGGAAAATTAACATCATGTTGATAGTTTCTGACAGCTACCAGAAATGGAATTGGTGTACATGTAGTATCCTTGTCAGCGACTAATCATTGTGACGTGAATGTGCACTGTGGTTTGAAAATAACAAATCTTCCAGAGATGGAAGACAAGATGTTTTTATAGGTTTTTCTTTTACATTTTGTAATGAAAGAAATACCTTTTTTTATGAACAGTTATTTGCATTTCAATGAAATTGTATTTTTCATGTTTTGTAATCACTCAGTGCTAAAATATGTGATTTCTCTGTGATCTAATGATAGTCTATTAAAATTATAAACTTGATTGACACTTGACATTTGTAGTTTGTTGTGTAGTGCCTTCTGTTCTCAATAAAATAACCCCTGATCGGGCAGGAAGCCGTCTTGGCTGGAGGCGGAAAATCATAGAAAATTACCTCCCCATTTGTTTCAAGCACGAAATTGAATGTCCGAAATGCTTCTTCCAAGGAAAAATATGGAAAATGAAAAACAACACCAACATTGCTTGCAAACGGAGAGAAAACTTTCTCCATCACATTTCGAGCTTTTATTCGCAACTTTATGTTGTCATGTTTGTATTCATTCATTTATCTATTTATTCATACTCCACTCCTCATTCGTGGTTGTTCATAACGTTTCAACTTACTTTGTTGTTGATGGCGCTCTTCAATTATGAATGACGGGGCTATCCTAAACATGTTCAATACATGGGCATGTACTAAGATTTGGGTTGGGGAATCACCTTGAGTTTGAAAAGGGAGTTTCAAGCATAACCCAATCACATTAATGAGATCGACGACAAAATGACCGAATAAAATATAAAGTAAATAGAATAAATAATACATGTCGGTGACTGACCAAATATCTGTCGGTTTGGAATCTGTTTGAAGTCGAGTTCGTGATGTGACTGAGGTAGAACTCATGACACAATATCGCACTTTTTTGTTATGGCTTGCCCGACAAAGCAACAGTACCATAAGATACGATTATGTATTACTAACTGGTATCGAGTAGGTTATTTTCTAGATGGGTCTGACTTTGGGCTAACTGCCGATGTGTAAGGTAATTCACTCAAAGAAATTCGATAACCAAGGTTGAGTTTCCCTTCAACTAATGTTGATTCATATGATACTGTTTTGTTTAGGCAAAGGCAAATTAATGACACAGAATACGTCATTTACACTTTCATAATGCCATTACAAAAACAAAAACAAAATCACACTAACACATTACCTACATTTATTTGAGAAGCCCTAATCTGCATATCAATTACTTGAAAGAATGTGTGCAGTAATCTATTATAAATCTTATGAAATATTGATCTTCCACAAACTCAACTTTGGATATATCGATCTATATTAACAGCTCTTCTTACCTCTTGTCTTAAAGATCCCCAAAGAATCCAATTGAAATGCAATGTGTATTAAGAATAATCGAGATGTTACATTTTGATTTATCCGAAAACTAATTTCCAGACTGCCGTACTCAAATGGCGAGTAGCAAACATACATATTTCAAAAAGTCAATTTGTTGCGATATTAAACCTTGTATATTGAGGTTTTAAGGAAATATTGCTGTACATTGGGAACATTACTCACCCAAATTGTCTTCACCGGACGTTGATGTGTCACTCTGTTGGGACAGGAAGCCTCTCCGTTGTCGGTAATCGCGGGAAACCATTTTACTTCGATCTTCCATCTTCCAATTTCAGACAGGATAGCCTCTGCAGAGGCGGTGGTCTACTGAGGTCTTGTGAATGGTAAAAGACAATATATTATGTGAAACAGAAGCAGAAGATGTGATGTAGTGTGGATCATATCATTGAGGGGGGCACTGTCGTAATGGGGGGGGGGGGTGGGAGATGTGGGGATTTGTGCGCCGGTCTTGCTGGTTAATATGCCAGAGAACAAGGTTATCAAATGAGGAATGGGCGTTTCGTATACAAATTTCCTAGACCTCTTCCCTTTTTCCCTTTCTTTATCCTGTTCGGCTGGTTGGGGGAGGGGGGGTGTCCCTGTTCGGCTACCACAGGGTAGAAGAACAGACCACGAAAGGAAGTAGGGTAAAGGTGGTGTAGTTTGCCTCAAGAGTCCACGTCACCGGTATATGTAATATTACGTCATTCAGGTAAGCTCTATAATACTCCTATTTTTTTTTTCTGTAGTGAAAATGTTCCCTCAGTTATAAACAATCCGCAACTTCTAGTTAATTTTAATTGTGTGTAAAAGAAAAAAGGTCACACATGATTTCATTCAATAGATGAATACCTTGATTAAAATGACGCACCTTTTGTTTTTTCATGGAACATAACTATATATATACGCAGTGGAATTGAAGTGAGAGAAAGGGGAAGGCATCATGCAAAGAAAAGGAAACCATCTATTTCGACCCCCCCCCCCCACACACACACACACACCACACTTACTCACTGGCATGCATAGCTCTTGAAGTTATCATGATTTGCGGTGCCCCACCCCCATAATGTCACAGTGCCCATATAGCTGCACCAATATTATAAGAACGAAAATAATTCCATATGTTTTACTTTCTGGCGGTTTCCATGCATGAGGAGACAAGCTTTACGATTATATCCATGCTAGGATCATTGGAAAGAAATGTGGATACACAAAAATGAAGATGGCATAATAATTAGGAAGAGTGAAAAAGAAAATCAAGAATACGTGGGGTTTGCGCCATTTTCACTCCTTACCCTAATTCTCAATTCTGTCAATCCTGGAGTCCGCTTTCGCAATTACAAATATTGAAGCACAAAGTAACTGAATCATTTGAAGATATCATGCAGAGTAAACAAACGGAAACTAATCGATCGGAGAAAACATAATGCAATTTATAGGAGAAGCCCCCCCCCCCCGAAAAATAATAAAAACAAATAGTAAACCATCATTTTGTGATGGCTCTCGATCAATTAACTTTTTCATGCGGTATAGTGTTGTGTCGTTTTATCACCCCATTGCCCCCACCGCGCCCCTTTCAAGCAATATCGCAAAGGTCTGTCACTGTTGTTGTTGAATGGTTTATTGAGAATACTGAAAATGGCAGCCGGATGGCTAAATAAATTCAGTTTACAATACAATCATTTGAAACACAAAGCTATGTTAAAACAATCAATGGTATCACATAACGCTTGCGATGTGATTCATAAATTATGGAGCTTTATATATCTCCCATGCACATATAGGCTATTATAATACATGTATGTCCCATTAATTTGATGGAGGCATGGAAATGATACGACAGTGCATCTCCGCATTGACATACATGTAAATGGACAACTGAGAACAGCTTTGTGATTACAGATGGGCCTACATATCTAATTTATCTACAGAAAGTCATGTTCATGTAGGCATGCATCCTTGAATGCATGGAGTCGAATATGGATTGAAAAGAAGTGTAAACAAAGACACATGTCATGCGCGAGCGGCATTGATTGGTCATTGAAAGAAGATAATCACCGCGAATTTTGACAACTTATTATACCGTTAGCGTGTTAAACAAATCAAACCATTTACAATACGATGTTATAGTTCGATTCATGGAAAGGGGATTACATTTTATATAACGTATATATTGCACGGAATAAGTACCATGATATGTGTTCCGGTGTGCCACGTAGAAAGGAAGAGACCACTACAATGCACGGCTTGCTAACGGAGCTCAGAACGGAGCAATTTCGTTTCCGTGTGAAAGTTGGTGGCAGTCACTTCGCACCGTACATGAGGAAGAGGAATCCAATTTGACATTGTGACCTTATTCCATTTCCCCGAGTCATTTCTTCGCCGATCGCGAGCGACGAGCACTGTGCACCAGACTTGTGTCTGCGGATCTATATATTATTATCATAACTCGCTTGAACCATAGCCTATATGCTTGAACTGAAGAAAGGCAAAAAAAAGTCATATGATCGAATATCAGCATTATTATGTGAGCCTGCATTTTACAAGAGAGCTTCTGATCTTGTTTATTGGGGGTTTATTGTAAGCTAAGTAGCTATGACAGTCGAATGATCAGACATGCATGTCATAATTATCAGCCATGCCAATCCGGATGCCAATGGAATGCTGAAGTCTATAAAGAAGCTATAGACATACGTCTTCTGGTTGATCAACTCACACGAATGAAGTATAGACAGAGTTATAAGTGAAACTCGATCCTATACTCTATGATACCTAAACCTAAATAGATATCATGCAATTTTTAAAGGGCAAGTCTACTCCAAAATACTTTCAAGGAGAGCAGACAAATCAGACAACAATCAATACAAGTTTGAGCAAAATCGGATAACTTAAAAGAAAGTTATGAATTTTTAATGACATGAAAAACTTTGAAAATCACAAGAGAAATTGGCAACTCACTCATGATTCTGTGACGTCATTGCCTCACCATCCACTACTGGTAATTGTTTTCTTTATATTGATAATATTAAATTTCCAATTCCCCCCCCTAAAAATCTGTTTTCCTCACACCAGCATCTAAGTTTTATTGCTGGTAATATGTTTATTTGTGTGGATGCATTAATATAGATTTTTTTTTCTTCAGTTAAATCATGAAAATGTGAAGTTTGATTAACTATTTACATAAAAATCAATGATTATGAATATACAATATTCAGAAAATAGTATCAATTCTTTAAAGTTCATACTGATATAATTTGTGAAATGTCATGCACGCAATATGATACAAATCATTAACCTGGGCAAAAGCATGGGGAAATCAAGTTTTGGGGGATAAAAGGGAAATTAACGGGATAAAAATATATAAGGTAATCGATAAATAGTGAGGCAACGTCGTCACAAACTGATAACCAAATGTGTAATTTGTGTAGTAGTTCCATAGTTTTTCATACCCTAAAAAAAAAAAATAACTTCCTTATTTATTTATCCGATATCACTCAATTTTTGTTGCTGTTTCACTTTGTTTTTCTGCATTTATTAAAAGCAAATTATTTGTGGAGTGGACTTAGCTTTTAATCAAGTTGACTCTTCACAAGTTAGAACCACGACAAGATTTTTGTTCTCTCCAAAACTTATCATGTTCTGTTTGATACTGTACATGTCGATTCTTTCCTCAAGAGTTCACCATTAATCCTCTCTTTATCACACACACACACACTCTCTCTCTCTCTCTCCCTCCTTGGTGCCCCATCCTCTATATTATATTTGGATTACTCCTTTAATTCCACGTAGAAATATAGAAGTTACTTTATTAATTCTTATTTCAGCAGAAGATAAAAAATCATAATGGCACACCAGAAGCTTGATAAATAGCATTGCAAAGAACAAGAATAAAACATCAACCCTAAAGCAATCAACATTCAGGGAATAGAAAACATCTAGTTATCCTCCAAAATAATATTCAATAATAACTTTGTTAAATACCATTTTGCCAGTGTTAAAACAAAAAATAATGGAGAACATTGTGGATGATTTTTCTTCAATTAATATCATTGTGTGGGGTCATTTTTTCACTTTTATAGTTCTTTAAAGTGCTATCCATCAAGCTTCCAATATGTTATTGCAATTTCCCCGGTTCATTTGATTTGTTATCCTCTATTATTAAGATAAGAATTAGAAAGCTGTAGAAATCAACAGAATTTCAAGAATGAATGTTGTTAATCAGTGTAATACATTTATTAATGATTCACAAAATCATGCTCGAGAATCATGACTATGTATGTTTTAGATATCTACTTTTGAATAAAAAGAAAAGACATTCAGTATTATGTGTGAATTCACAGCTAAAGGCAAACTTCACTTGGCCACATTAGTTTACAAAAACAAAACATTGCTCAGCTCATTCATAGTTTCCAAAACATATATCTTTGACACACACAGAACACTGTACACTCTTAAATTCTCTTTATGTGCTTTACCACTGTAACCGTCTTGGATTAAAAAGAAATGACAAACTATCGTTTAATTTTAGTGTGAGGAATACCTTACGAATAAAAATAATTCTGAAGATGATCCGGTATTGCAAATCGAAAATCATCAATTACTCGGATCATGCTGCCCATCAACATATAACAATATGTTATGCAAAATAAAAAAGGAATCTTCCTCTTGGAATTCCAAATGCAACCAAACCATATGTTTTAAAAGATTGAAGAACTGCCCACCAATTGATCTGATAGTTTGGTCATTTCAAAATGTTATCATACATTATCACTTTGGGTATGAATACTGTAGATACCCATGAAGTGAAATAAAATATAATTATATTTTCCATCCCATACATTCATCATACAATTTTTGTGTGCATGGCTCAACTGTGTCATAAAGTGGACTTTTTGAATTAGTCAATCTGTACTAACTTTTACAACAAATACAAAATAAATAAAATGTAAACATACTATCTCCTCCTCTTCTCTGCATAACTGTTACATGTTTTAGAAATATAAATAAAAGTATCCTTGGCATATGACACAAAAATGTAGAGGTTAATTTGATAGCTAAAGGTTATACACGGTTCTCCTATCCATAACATTTGACTAATAAGGACTAAATATGTATACTTTCCCATTCAAATCTGGCATTGGGAATATCATTATATACTCCGTAGTAGTACATAACACCATGTTAGATTAATGAACATAGACTAATTTAAACACAGTAAGCATATCATGACCTTCTTTTAAATTGATACACTTTAATATGGTGTAGATCTATGGTTTAGTATTTGCTAGAGACTCTGATGCACATTAATATTGCATTCACTATGCATACAGTGATAAATTTAATAAAGCAGTGTGCAAAACAGGCTAGTCTAGCTGGTGGATGCATTCCACAAAGCAGCAATTCCAAATACAAATAGCTTATACCTGTTTCAGTGGCCATCTCTCTGTAAAGACCACCTGTCAATAGTGGTCAACTACATAATATAATAAACGGTATGTGTTGTAAAACCTGTTTACAGTGACCACTTCCCATCGGTTGGCCTTTGTAGATAAGTTTGACTGCAGATGTAAAATAAGACAGTTCTCTTGTCCCACACAATGCTCTTCTTTCCTTAAAACAGGAAAGATTTGAAACAAAGCACAATTTGAATTCCATTAGAGCCCTATTTCAATTAGCCCATCATTCATCTGTGCTATGACATCACACTGTATAAAATTGTCAAGTTTATGAAAAATCAAAAACTATACTCTATCACACCATTGAATGACAGCAGTCTGAAGTTATGAATATCAATTTTAGAAACAAAACATCCACTGAAAGACAAAGTAAAATCTCATGCTGCTAGCAGATAGTCGATAAATAAAGAAGAAAAGTGATGTTTCTTTGCAGCAAACTATGTTATACAATTAGCAAGTTTTTTTTTGTGAGAGAACTAAAATCACATAATGCACACAGAGATATGATTCACAAACAGAAACATAATAATTTATGAAAAGATTCATGAAGGAAAAAAAAAGAGAGAACTAAAGAATCATGTAGAGCTTACCCTATCACCTATCACCAAAGTCTTCAATGCTACACCATATGTATTCATGCACTGAAAAGCATTACATAATATATACTATTAATATGCAAGGATTGGTAAGAAAAGAATAAATCACAACACTAGTACTAGCACATCATACTACCTGCAGTTCTATCAAGGACCATTACTATTGAAAATAAATATACCACATGGCAAAACTTGTGGTGTATATTTATATGACAAAAAACGTAAATAAAGATAACATATTGTTGAATCAATGATACCCATTGCAGAATGATCCTACATTTAGATATTGTGGCGATATGTACATATGGGTAGATTGCATGAATGAGTTATTATCCAAGACTACTGTAACAAATGCACTCAATTTTGAAAAAAATTGTTTATTTTATGCAAAATGAAGCAAAAACCAAATTAAGCACCTTGTTGAATTTTGCAGAAACTACTGTAGGACAGTGACATTACACTGAAAAAATGAAATATTTCTGTATACAAAATACAGAAATCAATTTGACTCCTAGCTTGTATTATTTCCTAACATTATTTTCATAAAAGAGCTTCTAAACACGATTTGCTGTTCTAAAAGCTTCTTTGTTAAACTTCCAATTCCTCCCTTCTTTATCTTGTTCCATTTGTAGATGATGAAACTACTCATTGATACGTAAGAACTTTATGAGATGCTTCTCCGGCTATCAATGATGCTATAATACGACCAGCATGCACAGCAAGACAGTTCTACTTGCATAATAATTATATATCTATCATAATAACATCAGATGATTCCATATCATGTGAATATGAACGCATTGTAATCGTTGTTAATTGGTACCACAGAGGAAGTAGTTGCTCATGTTAGTATGTAACTAACCCCATGCAGAATGAAGCCTAAACCAGTTAGTTGGAGTTGTTCACACATGCACAGAACATTTACAGCCCTTATTGTTATTAATCTGCATAGGAAAACAGGATGTATGTCAGCGGACCATTGTTTTCTATATGAATTGATACTATTCATATTAACCAAACAAACTATCCCCATGAATGCACACCACATAAATGACTAAAAGATTTAGATTATGAAATGCAGTTGAAATGTAAATGTGTTTCACATACCTACATGTATACCATTATCACTGAATGCCAGTCTCTAGATACCGTACAGCTAATATTAAAGAAAGCTCTTCAAAAATGTTTCAGAGCAAGATATATGCATAACATGGTGACTACAAATATTAAATCCAATATAGAAAAAAAATTAAATTGGGATAACAAATTATTATTATAACCATGATAATAAAACTTCTAATAACTAGTGATAAAAATGGAAGAATTCATTCATTTCCTGTTGATTATTTACTGTTGAACATAAAAAAGGAACAGTCTAGACAAACAATAATTCATTCTAGGCTTTTCATACACATCTAGAAATCTTTCTACTCTACAATTCCAATCAACATTTCTTATATTGCTTGTAACTTGGTCCATACATGATATTTGATTTGATTTGTTTCTCTCGACGTTATTGTACATCTACAAATATCTACCTTTACATCTTTACCATTTCTCCGACTCCGACTCCGGCTGCATTACGATCCCTTCACACAATTCAAGTTTTATAACAAACCAGAAAGAAACAGGCAAGATAACTACCAGAAAAGAACTGAAATTCAGAAAGCAGCTATAGCTATACTGGCTCAGAAACTCTAAACATGTTTTGTGAAGTTGGGATACAAGCCCTAACAAAAGTGTGGGGAGATGGGGGGGGGGGGGGGTGGGGGGACTTGGCTATCTTTAGGCAAAGTTGATGTTTGAAAGAGATGTGAGTGAAACGTGATGTATGTCCTCGCTCCAGGTCAACTGTCTGAATCGGTGTCCTTGTGAGTGCTACGTATGAGGGTGTCTAGGTACTCCTGGTGGGATTGGGCAAGAATTGAGGCTAGGATAGCATCCTCAGACTCCCATTCAGATATACCTACAACAAACAGACAAGTATTGCATCAAAATGTATTCAAACATAATGTATCAAAATCAACAAATCATTAACTACAAAAGGAGTAAGTTTGATAAAATCACATGTGAGTGCAGGATACAATGAAATCTCACTATAACAAACATCTTGAAACTATTGTCTTGTTGTATTGAAGCATTGATTTATTGTGTAATGCATAAACAATAATAGAAAATAACATTAAAAAAAGCAATAAAATACAAAGAGGAGTGACCAGGTCCAGGTGTTTGTTCCACTGTATTAATTTTACCTAAATCTTAACCAGAGTCAGAAGACAAACAAAAATAAATTTTATATGAACATGCAATAACAGTAACAAACACACATATTTTATTATTCCCTATTCCATGTTTAAATAATCAGCTAATGGCAAAGTTTCTGACCCATTGACGAAGGAAAAAAGTTTTTGTAAAAATAAACAGCAAAAAAGAAAACAAACATATTTGAAGGTGTGTGGTGTAAAAATGTTTGTAAAGAGAACAAGATTAAAAATGTATTTTAAAACTAGATGGAATTTTGACTGCGCGCAGTCGAAAATGATGCCTCCGCCATAGAGCAATTTAAACAAGTTTGGAGTTTAAATCTCCAGTGGTTCTTGAGATATCATGATAACAATCTCAATGTATGGAATTTCATAAGTTGACCTCTGTGACCCTTGACCTTTGACCTACGTGCTCCAAAATCTAATCAGATTGCCTTCCTATGGTGATACACACTATCATTAAGTTTGAAGTTTAAATCTCCAGTGGTTCTTGAGATATTATGATAACAATCTCAATGTATGGAATTTCATAAGTTGACCTCTGTGACCCTTGACCTTTGACCTACGTGCTCCAAAATCTAATCAGATCGTCTTCCTATGGTGATACATACTATCCTTAAGTTTGAAGTTTTTACATCTCCAGTGGTTCTTGAGATATCATGATAACAATCTCAATGTATGGAATTTCATAAGTTGACCTCTATGACCCTTGACCTTTGACCTACGTGCTCCAAAATGTAATCAGATTGTTTTCCTATAGTGATACACACTATCACTAAGTTTGAAGTTTAAATCTCCAGTGGTTCTTGAGATATCATGATAACAATCTCAATGTATGGAATTTCATAAGTTGACCTCTGTGACCCTTGACCTTTGACATACGTGCTCCAAAATCTAATCAGATCGTCTTCCTATGGTGATACATACTATCCTTAAGTTTGAAGTTTAAATCTCAAATGGTTCTTGAGATATCGCGCTAACAAACTCAATACAAGGAATTTCATAAGTTGACCTCTGTGACCTGTGACCTTTGACCTACGTACTCCAAAATCTAATCAGATCGTCTTCCTATGGTGATAAATACTATTCCCGAGTCTTAAGTTTAAATCTTAAATGGTTCTTGAGATATTGTGATAACGGTCAAACGGGACGGACGTACGGACGTACGGACGGACGTACGGACGGACGTACGGACGTACGGACGTACGGACGTACGGACGGACAACCCGAAAACATGATGCCTCCGGCACCACCTTCGGTGGCGGAGGCATAAAAATGTGTATGTAACAATGCAGTGTTTTCTAATTCAGAGAGCATTTAAAGAATGCATGATTGTGCCTAATAAGTTATATATTTTAACAATACAAATTATACAACGATAAAATTGTGAAAGGATTCCTTAACCTTTTATGGGAAGAACCACCCTGAGAACAACTGGATTTTAATGAAACAGATTAATGAGAAAAATAATTCAGCGAGAGTTTGAGAGTGAGAGAACTTAATGCTCAATAACCAAGTACAACTCAGCTGATTTACAACCCTCTTCATGTAATTCACAAAACAGGTTGTTGGCAATATTAACAATAAATGTCCAAATGCGCTGCAAAAAGTGAATAATGTCTGAATTTATGAGCTGTCAAGAACTTATGATATCAAAGATGAAGTAGTGCTCTGTAAGCACTATGGAAACGTCAATAAAACTGGAACTCCAAATCACAACCTGGCAGGCAGAAAAAAATAAAAGTTTAAGTGCTTTGTCGAGAGAAATATAGTCATACTAGATAGGGAGAACTGATAGCCTTCATTCATTTCATTTTGAAAGGAGCTGAAATCCTGGTCTATTCCAGTATAGATGTTGAGTACATAGCTTTCACAGTTTGACCTTCCTTAAACCGAATGATGACATAACAAAGGCAAACTGCCTTCATACTAATCCTCATTAATCTCCTTAATGGGGTGCTCTAGGGAATAAACATGGAACAATCAAATCCTTAGCTCAAATGGAGAAACCATTCACATCAAATATATTGGAACAATGTAGGCGCTGCCTGTTGTCAGCCTATAGGTCAGGTTTCATGTAACAGAGCAATAAAACATGTACAGGAGCTGTAGGGAATGAAGGTACATGTAGTTTGTTGCTCATAACAAAGCGAAAATGACAATATGGCATGAAAATGAAACCATTTCAATCTAAAATAGATCGTACCAGTCTTTTTGTCATGCAGTCACTTAGGTATGCCTTCATAAGGGTATGATACAAGATATGAATATCAGCATTGAGGAAATAGAACATCTTGACCTTTTGGATGGTATTTCAATTACATGTAGTTTGATTCACATGATATGTTTCATCCTCCTATCATATCACTTAAATTTCTGTGTACTGTGTATGTAGCCTACTTGTACATATTTTTCCAAGAGCACATGTATGTGTGTTACAAATGGCTGTTGGTCTTCAAAGCAGCGGCTAAAATTTTGCCCTTTAATGATGGCTATACTTATATAATATTGGATGGCTTTGAGTGTGATACAAAAATATATTGCTTGAGCTATGACAATGTTAAACAAGTCGGAGACGAGTCCAATATTGTCAAAGCGATAGCAATATATTCTTGTATCACACGAAAGCAAAGCCATATAAACAATTACAATAGTATTATTATCTGTATCAGGCTGATTAGCGAAACAACAACATTTCAGTAAATATGGCTTCTTTTGTGTGTGATATCGATATCGATAGTTGAAGTTCCTGGATGACTGAGCAATACAAAACAATATTGGTCAGTCATCCGGGTACTGCGCTAGAGATTTTAAATACACAGATTTATTGTACCTCTTGGAAACCTTATATAGATAATAATATTCAATATTGTACATTCAATGAATGTTAATGAATATTTTAGTATTAATTTACTGTATACCGGTAACAAGATATCTGGATACCACTTGTTACAGCCCTCAAATAATGGTCTAATTTACATAAGTGGTACAATTAGGACCCCCCCCCCCCCCCCCCCCCCCAAAAAAAAAAGAAAAAAAGAAATAGATATACATGTATATATAAATAAATAAATAAATATCATTTACAAATGCTGCTCCGAATCAGCACTTTTAAAATGTAAGCGAATTGCAGGTGGAGACTAACATAAAATGTAGCTGCATCCAAAAAAGGCCCCTAAGCATAAGATACCAACACTGTAAATGCATCTTTATGTTACCAGACATAGTACACAAAGGGGAAGTGCACTACACTGTCTTACATGATTTTATTTTGCCACATTTACTTATTCTTTCTATTCGTGAGTGCGTCTGTGTTGTTTACCATGTTATATGTGATTGAGGTGAGGCATTAGGTTACGCTGCATAGGATGTGGCAAACACAAACTGTATGGAACAAAAACTACAAGTAATCTTGCTATAGAACAGTGCTAAATGAATTAAGAGATGATGAGAATCCTGACTCACCGAATTCTTCTGGTGGTATATCCTCCATTCCATGGGAGGCCGTAGGTGGGTTGTAGCCACTGGGCCCTGCCTTGGGACTAGCCGTGTCCCTGGCATGGGCGCCTTGGGGAGAAGCTGGATTAGAGATGTGGCCACTTGTTGTGGGACGATCTATTTCACAAAATGGATAAGACAGAAAAAGTTTGAACTTTCATTCACGCAAAGCCCACAATTTCTTTATGTGAAAGGAAAGTCAGAAATAAAAAACATACACCAAAGAGGTTGGTATGTCCATCCAATGCAGATTTCCTTACCTGCTTTTGACAAAAGCTGCTGCTGCTGCTGCTGCTGTTGTTGCGCTTTCTTCTCTGCATTCCTTCCCCGGATTGAATTAGGCGATAAAGGTCTCAGCCTTGCTGCCTCGAGTCTCTCAGGGCTATTTGGTCTGGACCCACTGCCAGTGCCCCTGTTCCTTGGCGACAGACGTCCACTGGGATGGTGAGGACCTACCACGTGTCCACTGGGGTGGTGTGGGGAGACCAGATGACTGCTTTGATGGTGTGGAGTGACCAAATGACCACCAGAGTGATGTCCAGAGGAAGGGTGATGGCCGCTCAGCGCGTGATGGGAGCTGGAGTGTTTTCCGCTGTTGTGCTTTCCGCTAGGGTGCTTCTTGCCAGAGTGGTGGCCGCCTTGGCTGGCACCAGACTTTTGGTTGGCCTCACCCCACCATCCTGGGGGAGAGTCTGGTGGTGCAGAACTACAGGTAGCTGTAGCAGGGAGCTACAAGAATAATTTACAAACAGAAGCAAATGATATTTCCTACCAATAAAAGGTTCAATAATATATTCGCCTACTCCAATAAATGCTTTCTATTAGACCTCTGGGCTAATGTATAAATAATTTTATTTTCATGTTTTCTCAGTTTTGGCATTCATCTGTCTCTGTCAATTCTTAACTTCTTGCATAAATCTTGATGTTTTTACAGTACCGCTACCAGCTATCACATCAATTACATCCATATGTAAACATGTTAAAATCCAGCTTCTGTTGCTTTTCAGTTAAAATAAAAATTACAATACATGTTTTGATTGGATCAATAGACACTCAGACTATCATTAAATTGAATTGAAATGAATTCACTTGACATACTGCTTTCTTCTCTGCTCTTTTCTCGTTGTCCTTGAGCCACTGAACAAAGGATTCCCTCGCTACTTGTTCCTCAATCGCTTCGTTGGTTGCCTCCCAGTCTGTGGCGAGCAATTTATCCTGCAACATGGTCTGTTCGATGGCAGACTTCTCTGATATATGGATAGCTTCTCGCATCAACGTCTTGTCCGCAAGCTGGGTGTGGAGTGATAGTGCATGAAGATGGTTACAAAATAAGCTGATTATGTCACTCAACATGTATTCTTGTGTGTGATCTACTTTAAACATCTACGTAATCATAAATTGCATAATCACATGAACTTTAAAAAAATTTGATGGCATATTGCTATATAAACGGTGTGCTGTAAGGCCAATTCTTTTCATTTCGATCGTTGTATTGCACATCATCTTTTATCATATTTGATATTACATGTGTTTTGAGAGAATGCATTGCTAGTAACCTGATGTGTTTTATAACTTGCAACTTAGATACTTCAACTGCAGTAACTTCTATACAGTTGGAATTCCCCATATCAAATTCACAATTCGTGAACCAGTCATGAATTTTAGAAGAAAGACAAATATTAGTTATAATATAAATACTACAGAACAAGAAGGCCTACATGAAAATACAGCTGTAATGTGACCAGTGTATCTCACACCATGTCAACAAAATTTGCAATAGGTTATTTCCAGTTGATTTAAATCAACCCAAGAACCCTTTCACCCAGCAATTCACTGAACATCTGTTGTAAGATAGCCATTACAGCTACTTACCCCTGGTACAAATGAGGGCATTCCTAAACCCACTCCTACTGTAGCTTTGTGTGGATTGACGACTGAGTTGTAGTGAACGTTGCGGTGGTAGCTCACACGTATAGGATCATTGTCTGTCTTGTTCAGGGTGTGAAATGTGTTGATAGGTTCTAATAAGGAATAATGCATACTTGATTTAAGTTGTGATCTTAGATTTGAGAAAATGGAAAATACGAAATTTAACGCCCATAATGAATGTGCAATTTTTTTTCCCCCTTATATTTCTCTCTCACACCTTTAGTACATGAGCAACATTCACTATAAGTTTGAGTGAGAGTTCATGAAGATGGTCACCTTAAAATTATGACATCACTCAATTCACATCACTTGCATGGCAGTGACGGATAATAATAATAATGATACATGTACTGCTTGCTTTCCCTATTATATAGGGGATGACTTAACTTTCATAGAAGTTTTAAAAGATTATTTTGAATGGAACAACATACCTGTACTGTACATATAAACCTCGATGTTACGATTGTACATCTCTGACAAGGCTTGCATCTCTACATGGTTACCATGGCAACTGTCTAGACGCTTCCGGGCAATATACGTCGGAAAATCCTCAGTGATAAATTGTGAGAAGTAATCTGCATTCTTTGTCTGTGAACAAAAATAATCACATTATTAGAAGGAACAGGAAAGGTTAAGCGATAACAGATGTTTTTTCTTCACTCTGAAAGTCATTTACAAAAATTGCTCATATTGTTCTTGACATCAGCCTGGTTTAACTATAAACTACTTTGAAGATAAATGCAACAAACATCAAACATACATTATATGTATAACTTAGAAAGATTGCATTTTGCATGTGGAATCCTTTTAAAAATTACATTGATTTAAAATATGGAACATAAAATTTACAAAAGATTGTCTTTTCTCAGTACACTATTCTAATATGACGACAACACTATGCTTACCATGTAGTCCATACAGTGTCCTCTAACAATATTATGCCAATCTTGGTCTCCATAAACCTGGTCAGCTGTGAACATAGAAGAAAACAAGTCACAGGCATTTAAAGTAGGAAATCATGAAAATGTTTGAAATGATACGAGTCACAATTCATGCACAAGTAGAAAAGTTACCTATAATGGGTAACCTTTAGCCCCCCCCCCTCCCCCCCCCCCTTCCTCCACTTCTGCCACTTTCTTTCTTCCTCTCAGTAAGACGACATTGTACAATAGATGCATAAAACCTCCACTCAAGAGCGGATAGATCGTATAAAGAACTCATTCGCATGCATCATTTGTATAATATGAACATGTAAGAGCACTCATTATACATGCGGAAGGTACATGTCAATGGTCCAAATGGTTATGTGTACAAAATTGTGTACATTGTACATCATGTGAGTGTACTGAAGAGGAAGCAATAAAATTATACCCTTTACTCATACACTGTAAGGATGTAATTACAAGTAATCCCTGCCAAAAAATAAATATAAGGATTTATGACACTTTAATTTAACGACCAGCATCATGTTCCTTTAATATGCTGTTTTACATTTAATATGTACATGTATAGCACATATACTCTACATGATAGTCCATTTTGAACTTACCAACTGATCTGAATAAACATGCTCCATCAGGAACCATGATCTTGATGATGAAACCTTTCTTCTCTTTCAAAGCTCGGGCAAACCGTTCTTCAATCTTAAACAAGCAAAGACAGAACAAAATTATGCAAAATCAATTGAATTATAAATATAAAAAAGCATGATTGGGAAAGATTTAAAATCTATGTGGGTAACCAAAAGAACAAAGGAGCATGGGTGATCTATAGGTACTTTGTGGGTGTCTGGGACTATTCAAGAATCACAAACATATCTAAGTCGCCAATGCTCAATATGATGCTACATGTATATTTAAAATTGGCAATTAAAGACTGGAATATGTAAATGTGGTTCACTACATACAGAAAATGCATCGCCACAGAATGATAATTGCATTCAAAATTTATGAATAATAAATGTGAGTGATGCAAGTGAAATTGAGTTTTCATGTACAATAATATGTATGTACATGTAGGTCGAGTACTGTACATACATGTACATGTTCTGTGTAGGACTACATGCACGTAGTACATGTATGCAGGGAAAACACCTCCCTGATGTATCATGTATGTGTACACACATTTTTTATATGTAGACATTTTTTTAAGTGGTCTAGCGGAATAAATCACTGGATTGTAGATACAGACTGTCTGTGGTTCAGATCCCTCATTTGGCAAGACATCTACATGTACATGTACAATGTACAATGCATAATCCCTACCCTCCTTATCCAGGAAAGGTCAAGTATGAGGCTATGTGTCAGGCTTACAGAAAGCCAATATTTATTAAAGCTGATATTGCAAATTTGCACACATTTTTGTCCTCACTTATTTCATTTAAAATGACAATTTGAAACGAAGACATCTACATGTAGTCATGTACATGTACGATCGATGAACAGGAATAGTCCTATAGCATCGCTGGATAAAAGTAAAGTAAAGTAAGTAAAGAAAAATTAAAATGTTGTACCGGTAGACAGTGGCAGTACAGTGTACATGTACAATGATGATGTGCCAATTTAAAAAAAAAATGCATATCACACGTCCGTCCATGTACATGTACATTAACATTTCTATGGCACTTCCCTATATATCAGAGGACATGTTATAATATAAGCAAAATATTATACCATATAATGTCTATTTGCATTCCAAGAGTACAATATACACATGTACACATGATACACATGTCTGTGGTCCGATGCAACTTGGTATAAAAATGTTAGTTTCTGAATTAGATTCAGCAAAATAGTTTTCATTACATGTGGTTATTCTTTTTTTAATTATTCATTGTTTGTTTTTTCGCCTTGAAATGAAATAAAGTTTAGAGAGTTAGGAGGGACACAAAATCGTCTTAGTATTTGCCTCAACTTCTATAGCCTACATGTAGGCCTACATGTACAGTACTTGTATATAGAATGAAGAAGAAAAAGCATGGGTAAAATCAAACGAAATAAACAGAATGGGAGAAGAAAAAATCATGATCATGTCAGGACAGGGGTATACCTTTCTCTATACCCATGGTACCTTTGATTTTTTTCCCCAAAAAATGTGTAGGAGTAGAAAGTAAACAAGCCAGTTTATCAAATCAATCCATTAACAAACTAGATTGATTTTGACATTATTAAATTTGTGGGTTTTTCTTGTTTGCTTTAAAAATCTTAGTCGGTAAAACAAAATTAAGTTCCATAAGGCAACAATAAAAATTCAAAATAAAAAAAAATGTTACCATCTGAATAAGACGGCTATTACCCAGAGTCTATTTGATATGTCAGATAAAATATCAAAGTGAAAAGTTAGCCATCACAACATAAAAATGAAATAATAAGCAACTCATTTCTATTTTTTTCAGGGCTACATCATACATGTATGTTCCGCTGAGACTACATCTGGCTATATTATCGGAGCATCACAATCACAAGATAAATCTGTTTATTTTTTAACTCCTCAAGCAGACAGGTATTTCTGTCTACCGGTACTCTAACTTTAACAAAAATTACGTTCAAAACATTGGAAGTTATTTGTCGGATTAACTATAGAATACTCCACCAATAGTATGATGCAGAGATTAAAAAAATATTACTTTATTAAAAAATATTAGGAAAGGAATGTGATACTCGTTCCACGATTTCTCACATTTTATACAAATATAATTACCCGTGGTCGTAGTTAAATTATTACCAAACGAACAGCAACATTAGTGCACTAGAAAATTTATCATCAAAGACTTCGACTAAGAGTTCCAAAGATTTCTCGATATCAAAATTTGAGAATGCACTGCAATTCACAGAGATCTAGACTAGAATTAATAAAATAACAAAAGTTTGAAACCTCAATTTTTTTATTTTTTTTTGGGGGGGGGGTATTCAAAAGTTGCTCCCATTTGTCAAACATGATTTATTTATAATTTTATATCCATTATCTACCTCTTCTATATTCTCTGTTTCTTCTGTATTTTCTTCATGCTCATCGCCACTATTTACAGCATCGACTTCTTCATCTTGTTCGCTTTCCCTAGGGCTTGAGCCTCTAATTTCGGCCTGTGAGTTCGTCGAATTGTTTGGAGTCCATGACACAGCTCCTGCGTGATCATACTCAAAATCGCTATATTCGTGTTGAGGGGACGACCGGTGCCTCGCCCTTTTATTACTAGAATGTCCTCCATGTGAATTTTCTCTTCTTTCTTGAGAATCATAACTAGTCCTTGCATCATGGTTACTCAGTCTATCATCTCTTTGGTTATTTGCATTCCAACGAGGCGGAGAATTACGAGATTTTGGCCGTGCTCCTCCCCTTGATTCTCCTGTAGAATGCGATACAGAGTGACCTAAATTATGTGCAAGATGGTGATGACTATTGTGTCCATGATGTTGATGATTTTCACCACTTTCTGCGCCCCTTTTCTCCTGTTGAACCTTCTTCTTTGGTAAAATAGTCATTTTGCTAATCTTTCATCATATTATGGTTGCATAATATGATGTAGAATATGTGAAATTCTGCCTTCACAATTCCCCTTTCCTGGCAATTTCCTCTGTGTTGAACCAAAACATTAATAATAGTAATGTCTTACATTGACCTAAGATGGCGCCCTGTGATTGTCGGGAAATTCATGACGTAAGCCTTGCTGTCAATAAAAAGTTCTCGCTAGACATTTTAATGATCACCGCAGTTCAAATCGTTGTCGCGATAGTCTATAACAATCATACCTTCTTTGTGGAGAGTAACAGTTTCATATTATTTGCCAAGCTTGGCACCCACGAATAGACGAAGTCATTAATTAAACTCGAACTTGGTAATGTAGATATTCAGAGAGTTTCTTCAGCAAAGTATTTGAGTGTTATTATTGATGATAACCTCTCTTGGTCTAATCATATTGGTGACATCTGCAACAAATTGTAGAAAAGTATTGGTATCATGTACAGATTGAAATCTCTCCCTAAAAGTATTCTCTAAATGATATACTATGCAACTGTGTATCCTACTTACATTATGCTATTATTGTCTGGGGAAATGCTGCTTTAAATCATCAAGATAATTTTTAAAATTACAAAAACGTGCAATAAGAATTATCAATCATTCTTCACTCTTAAAATGTTGGGTAAATTTAGTTGGGTAATTGTTGGTTGGTTAAAAAAATTCGTTATTCTGGGCTATTATTACCCATTTAAGCATTTAAGTGTTTTAACCAATATTGGGCAATTATTTTTACTTAATTATTGGGCGGATATTTACCAACAGTATTGGTAAATGAGGGTTGGGAACCAGTTGCCCCGTAGTTGTGTAATTTTGCCACATTTCCTTTGCGAGTTGGGTAAATTTTGTTGGGCAACTGATGGTTGGGTAGAAATTCGCCTAGAAATTTACCAACATTATTTTGCAAATTAGGATCGAGTAATTTTTGCCTGTAGTTGTGTAATTTTGGCACATTCCCACTGCGAGTTGGGTAAATTTCGTTGGGCAACTGATGGTTGGTCGAGAAATCGTTTCCAAAGTTGGGTAATTTTTATCCCAATCTATTTCAGGGCATTATATTTACCCAATTATTATACATTTAGCAACAACATCGTTCCAAGGAGTTGAGAGCAATTTACCAAGTAGTTGGGTAATTGTTAGATGCTGAGGAATATTACTCATCACCACTTACCCAATTTGACTTTGCTCAAATTTTGTTTGCTCATATTTGGGTAATAATTGACCACCGCCTCTTACCCAATTTTACTTTGCTCAAATTTTTGTTTGCTCATATATTGGGTAATAAATGACCACCGCCTCTTACCCAATTTTACTTTGCTCAAATTTTTGTTTGCTCATATATTGGGTAATATTTGACCACCGCCTCTTACCCAATTTTTCTTTGCTCAAATTTTTGTTTGCTCATAATTATGCTGAGTAATAATTACCCATCACCACTTACCCAATTTTACTTTGCTCAAATTTTTGTTTGCTCATATATTGGGTAATAAATGACCACCGCCTCTTACCCAATTTTACTTTGCCCAAATTTTTGTTTGCTCTTATGCTGAGTAATAATTACCCATCACCACTTACCCGATTTTACTTTGCTCAAATTTTTGTTTGCTCATATATTGGGTAATAAATGACCACCGCCTCTTACCCAATTTTACTTTGCCCAAATTTTTGTTTGCTCATATGCTGAGTAATAATTACCCATCACCACTTACCCGATTTTACTTTGCTCAAATTTTTGTTTGCTCATAATTGGGTAATAATTGACCACCGCCCCTTACCCAATTTATTTTGCCCATATTTGTGTTTGCTCATATGCTGAGTAATAATTACCCATCACCACTTACCGAATTTTACTTTGCTCAATTTTTGTTTGCTCATACATTGGGTACTATTTGACCAACGCCTGTTACCCAATTTCACTTTGCGCCTTTTTTTGTTTGCTTATATAGGGTAGTAATTGACCACCGCCTTTTACCAAATATATTTAGCTCAATTTTCTTTAGCTCACAATATGCTGTGTAAATATTGCTATGAAAAATTGAAATTATCTCTCCTGTAATTGTAACCATTTACTTCTATTTTAAAATTATAATAACAGAGTGTTGAAGCGACGATGAATTTGTGCGAGTTTGATGCTGAAAGAGTCCAAGATTTATCTTTTGTGAAAACTGAGCCATCTTAACCATGTAGGCCTATAGAGTTACATAATCTACGTTAATAATATTAATGGAACGTACACGCTATCATCGTCAATTATGCGCATGCGTAAATGGCAGTGGAAACCTTCGATGGGGACTAGACTTACGTTTAACCAGACTTGGGTAAAGTTTGCCTGGTATTGGTCTTGGGGTAGCGCGCACATGGCCTGGTCGCTCGCGATCAGCATGCCATGCGCAGTACTATTTCTATTTACTCGGTATAGCCGGCGCGGCCGTCCCGGCCCGGGAGCTCGAGCTATATGATACACCAACGTAACTAGCAGCCTGTACGTACGTACGTATACGCATCATATCGGAGTCTTGCATGCTAGAGCCTGAGGGTCTAAAAATGGAGCTCGACAACTGCTGCGGAGATAGTTCAAGTGAAGATGGGTTCATAGACCCTCTCACCAAAATCGTTCAAAGGTGGGGATGTCCGTCAGTGTTAAAGATACTAGAAGGTACGTTCACATCTTATTGAGATTAGAAGTTTAGAACATGATCAACAGGTACTTGCTGTAGACTTGTTCCCATATCCATAACACATGGGCAACATGTAGACTAGTTCTATATGCCTCAGCAATGGTTAATGAATACGCTTCAATTCAATTGGTCTATTAAACTTTGCCTCAAATTTGCTCTTTTAATGCATGTGTTACTAATCCAAACTAATATTTGATTGATATAGATATCAAATTCAAATTGTACTGTTTCCATGAATTTTAGATCACAAATGAATATTTAAAAATATTTTGTTCAAGATTTTACAAAACCCAAAGGCCAAAACCCGGATTTCTGTGCTGTTTCCTGCTACAATACATACATAACACAATACCCTCCATTTTCTATGGATCATGGGCTGTATGGGGTCCAATCACAGAACTCTTAAATACGTATTTAAGAGTTCTGTGGGTCCAATACATTGGACCACATACTTGTAGGTGTGTACCCAGATAGTATTACAGTACGTGGGACTGGTGTAATTTTGAACAATTATCTCTGTTATCTGAAATTGGTATTACTATTACTAGATCTAGTCTAGGTCTAGATCTAGATCTAGGCCTACTTATATTTAATAATCAACACTGAACTGAATGATTCATCAGAAAATTGAAGTTGTCAAATAATGTACAATTTTATGAACATTATTTTGTGGAAGATCATCTTTCATTTTCCTGTAGATCTAGAAGTCTAGATTTCAAAAAGTGAGACAATTTTTCTTGCCCATTGCCATGTTAAGGATTTTGCCCTTTCATTTTCTACAGGACTTTGAAATCCAAACACTCTAAAAAAATGTTGGGCAAGTGCCCAATTTTTACCCAACATGAGGGCACTTATGTGTCCGACTAACTATTGGGTAAATTAAAGATTTTGCATGATTTACCCAGTGTTGGATGAAAAGAAAATACCCAACTTTTAACCAACAAAATTTACCCCAATAGGAAATTCACCCAATTCTCACCATAATGTGTAGTATATTCGACACTAGTTGGGCAAATTATTTCATCAGTAACTACATGGTTGGTAGAAAATAACCCAATTATTGGACAAAAATGACCAACTTTAATTTGCCCAAAAATATTACCCAATTATTTCATCGGTAACTACATGGTTGGTAGAAAATAACCCAATTGTTGGACAAAATTTGCCCAACATCAGTTTTACCAAGTAACACCTACCCAACTTATTTCTGACCTTTTATTAGGTAACTTCATACAGTAAATGGTTGGGAGAAATTATTTGACAAAAACGCGCCAAACTTTGATTTGCCCAGTAACATCTGCCTAACTTTGTTTTACAGAGCATAGACTCTACATCCTCTTGGTTTTAAATGGGGCTATTAATTATGTGCTATTGCGATATTCCTTGTCACAACTAAAAGGCAGTTGACCCACATTTTAGCCCATATTAATAGCCTAATTCAAAACCAAGAGGCTGTGGTGGTTTTCGAAATTGCAGTGACCTCGCTGTAGTACACGAATGGGCACAATTTTTAACATGGGTACATTTTTTCTCATTTAAACAAATCTTTTTCTGAAAATAATTTTTAAATATGGAAAAATTACAGATGCTTAAGCCACCAAATTATGCCCACAAAATTGTACACTATTTTACTACATGTCCAGATTTCAATGAAATCATTAGAACCGATGGACGGATTACCATCCAAACTTGGGACATGTACATGTATCTTGCAAGTTGCAAAGCCAACGAACCGATTCGATTTTGGGATGGAGGTGCACATGGAGGAAGGACATTCGTTAGTACAGGATTAACTGTCCTATTTTGCTTCATATCAGTGAAATGTTCCAGCACATGCATTTTTTTTAATGTTTCACACCACTGAACAATAAGCTGTACAAAAGAATTATTAAACACCACAAATTATCTTTTCTAGGATAAACAATTGTCAGTTGCCTCTATTCAAGGTAACACACTATAATTTATATATGGTTGTATGGTACTGTAAGTGGCCTGTGAAAGGCTTGAGTGCTAGACTTTTTGAGAAACCCTGGTCAGATATAGCTAGGTTATTTGTCATACTAAAGCTGAGAAACATGGCTACTAATGCAGACAATATCATGGCAGCCGCAAAAGGTTGAAAAAAACAATTACCGGTATGGCAGTTTAAAGTTGAAGTAATAGGCATGACAGTGCACATGGAGAAGACACATATGATTATCAATGAATTAGTAATGTTAATTAACCAATCAGCATACATTGACCTCTATGCTAACTCTCAAATCATTCTGATTCATTTGGTAAGTTGAATGACTTTCTTTGAAATCAAATTCATTGCTGATGCAACTAATCTTTATACTTTAAATAGGCCCCTACATTGTTAAAAATTAGGCACAATTTGACTAAACTAAGGTGATTACTAGTATGACTTTAGAA